AAGTAAAAGTGTACTTACATTTGAGCCCCAAGCTAGGTCAAGGCTCACACTGGCATACTTGAGGAGACCTATAGTATATTTAAGGGAATTTTGAATACTTCCTTACTGCTATGGTTTGAATGTTTGTTCCCTCCAAAAGTTGTGTCAAAATTTAATTGCCATTGTAACAGTATTTAGAGGTGAGACTGTTAAGAGGTGATGAGGCCATGGGGGCTCTGCCCTCATGAAGAGATTAATGTCATCACCTTGAAAGTGGGTTATCAAAAGTTGAATTTGGCCTCCTACTCCCTCCTTCTCTCTTGCCCTCTCTTGGCTCTTCTGCCATGTGAGGAACAGCATTGCTTCCTGCCTCTGGAGGATGCAAGGTGCCATCTTGGAAGTGGGAGTTGGGCCCTTACCAGATATCAAACCTTCTGGTGCCTTGATCTTGGACTTCCCAGCTTCCAGATTGTTAAGAAATTAATTTCTGTTCTTTATAAATTACCCAGTGTGTGGTATTCTGTTAGAGCAGTACAGAACTAAGACACTTACAAAACCTGCCCTTTCCACCCTCCACACTCATACTCCTATCCCATACATATTTTGGAGTTATTTCAACATGGAGGAAATTAACAAACCAATAATTTAAAGTGTAGTTTCTATTATCTCTCTCTCTCTCTCGTTCGCTCGATCACTCCTGTTATAAACAGATTTACTGTGATGCTAATCAGGCTTTAACTTCAGGGCACTTCCATGCCCAGGTGTATGCTCATATGTTTTTGTGCAATTTGAAAAAGATATTTTAATCATGATTGGTGAAAACTATTGTCTCTTCTGCCTGCCTTCCCCTTGTAGCAGGCATTGGAAGGGTGGTGGCCTTGACAATCTGGCTAAGGGGAAGTTGAGTTGGGAAGACATTTAACTTGGGTTAATCAGATATATTTATGTGGCTTACAGACAACTCTGTATATGGTTAAATTACTGAGAGCTGTTCTGCTGGAAGAATGGATTCCAGGAATATCATTACCACCCACTGCTCTCATTTAGCTAGTGTCATAAGAGGAAGGTGTGGAGCAAAATGCTGTATCACTAGATAAGCATGTTCTATGCAGCCTGGCACCAGAAGCATAAATTTGTTGGAGATAAAATATGATTTGAAACATATGAAATCTCATGTTCTGACCATCAGATATGTAAAGGCAGAAGCAGTAAGATTCCAGTTTCACAGACCCCAAGTCAAAGGAGAATGTCTTGTCTGTTAACAATATATTTGATAATTCAGAGTACACAATTACAAACTCATCATAAAATAACATTTTCCCAACTAACTGCTATATAAAATAGATAAAAGTTATTCTATCAACAAGCAAATTATAACAAAAACATTTTCAAATCATACCAAAATTAACTCATTAAGATGAGATGACACATTTGAAAGAGAATAAGCAGACTTTTGGGTTGTCTAATAATCTAGCTAATGAAGAAGAGTAAATCACATGAACATAATCGAAAAATATCTAAATATCTTCTTGCTGATTTGAGATAAAATACTAGTGGTAATGAAGATCATTTCAATGAGGATTTTGATGATAAACTGGCTAATGAGTTGTCAATTTCCACAAAGACCAATGGAACAGAATAGTGAACCCAGCAATAAAGTCACATGCCTACAGCCATTTGATTCTCAACCAAGTCAACAAAAATAAGCAATGGGGAAAGGGATCGCTATTCAATAACTGGTGCTAGAATATATAACTAGTCATAGGCAGAAAAATAAAACTGGACCCCTATATTTCATTATATACAAAAATTAACTCAAAATGGATAAAAGATTTAAATGTAAGACCTCAAGCTATAAGAATACTGGAAGAAAACCTAGGAAACATCATTCTGGACATTGGTCTTGGGAAATCTTATGAGTAAGTCCTCAAAAGCAAATGCAACAAAAACAAAAATTGATAATTAGGACCTAATTAAACTAAAGAGCTTCTGCATCGTAAAAGACACTATTAACAGAGTAAAAAGACAACCCACTGACTAGGAGAAAATTTGTGAAAACTATGCACCCAACAAAGGTCTAATATCCAGAATCTATAAGGAACCTAAACAAATAAACAAGCAAAAAACAAATAATCCCATTTAAAAATGTGCAAAAGACATGAACAGACAAGCATTCAACAAACATGAAAAGATGTTCAACATCAATAATCATCAGAGAAATGCAAATTGAAGTCACAATGAGACACCATCTCACACCAGTCAGAATGGCTATTATGAACAAGTCAAAAAACAACAGCTGGCAAGGCTGTGGGAAAAAGGAAATGCTTGTATACTTTTGCTGGAAATGTAAATTAGTTCAGCCACTGTAGACAGCAGTTTGGAGATTTCTCAACGAACTTAGAACTATCATTCCACCTAGTCATCCCACTACTGAGAATATATCCAAAAGAAAATAAATAATTCTACCAAAAGGCATAGGTACTTATATGTTCATTGCAGCACTATTCACAATAGCAAAGACACAGAATCAACCTAGGTGCCCATTAATGGTGGACTGAATAAAGAAAATGTGGTACATATATACCACAGGATACTATGCAGTTATAAAAAAGATCGTGTTCTTTGCGGCAACATGAATGCAGCTAGAGGCCACTGTCCTAAGCAAATTAATGCCAGAACAGAAAACCAAATACCACATGTTCTCACTTATAAGTGAGAACTAAACAGTGGGTACTCATGGACATGAAGACAACAACAATAGACACTGGGGATTACAAGAGGTGGAGAGAGGGGCCAAGGGTTAAAAAATAGCTCTTGGGTACTATGCTTAGTACCTGGGTAATGGAATCAATTGTACCCCAAACCTCAGCACCACCCAATATACCCAGGTAAGAAACTTGCATGTGTACCCCCTGAATTTAAAATAAAAGTTGAAATTATCTTTAAAAAAAAAGGGGAGTTGTCAATTCCATGGCTATTTAAAATGTATCACTTCATAAGAAAAAATTTAAATGCCTTGATAATATAATAACCCTAAAAATCTGCCTGACATTACAAATGATGAGTTGTAAAACTGAAAGAAGCTTTTGCAAACTATCAGTAATTTTCTTACAAAAGTCTGATCAACAATTTCAGAGAAAAAATTACTTTTTAATTCACTGTATACAAGATGAAATTATAAATTGTTGATAATTAAAGAAGTGAATAAGAAATGTGTGCAAGAAAATGCAGAAGTATTAAAAAGGTATATCAAGTGGTTAATATATATTTGTATAGATTTTGTGATATCTATGGTGATTATCAGCTTTTTACAAATGTAAATAAATGTTCTAAATAAATGTTCATTTTTGTAACTAATGTTGTATTAGAATTTTTATTCATCTTATTTAAAACCTGAATCCTGTGTTTAAATCAACGTTACCCAAGTACTCATGAACAAAACCATTAAGTGTTGAATTTTTAAGATTCAAATCTCTCTTTAAAGCCAAATTTAAGAAAAAATAGTAGGACAGTCACATCAGCTTCCTCTCAGCATAAACTGAAATGCTAAATTAGGAAGGTTAGACCACAGTCAATGTTCTAAATCACTGGCTTCTCCATTTCTCTATGACTTGTTGACTACTTTTAGGAGATTAGTTGACCTGTTGATATAACAAATATTCACAAAGCAGCGAAAAGAATCCAAGAACAGTTATGTCCAAGGAGCTTTCAAATCTATCCTACCAGGAAAGGAAAACATGACTTCTGAAATACAATAAGTAACAGAGAGATATGCAGAGAGGCATAGAGTTCTCCAGGGATTCTAAAGAGGGGAAGATGACTGCCAAGAAAGGTGATTAGGAGAACCTTAAGAGGAAACAGCGTGACTGTATTCATTTCCCCATTCCATTATAGAAATTATTTAAGGGCCATATAAGAGAGACACAACAAGAGAGAATGCAGTAAGTGTTGAAGCAAAATGAAAAGACAAGAATAAGAAGAATACAATAAAGGGCCAGAAAATGGGGCTAAAAGTACAGTCCACGATGCCTTGTCCACTTATTCCAAGAGGACCTCAAATGTGGCTCTTGGTGCAGGGATAAGGTGATAATTTATTCAAAATAAGCCTTAAAGTGAAGGGTTGGGGTCTGAGTTTACAATGAAAATGAAATGATGGCAAACCTGGGAAGTAAGGTGTCTGCAATGTTTTCTCCACATTTCCAGACATTAAGCACTGGGGAATGTTGTTATTCTAACAGGCATATTACTCTGATTAGGCCTTGGCAGTTGAGCTGTACCATAAGTTACATCTTTTCCAGTCCAAAGCAACAAAACCCTTAATGTATGTGATGTCCACATAGCTTCCATAGTTCAGCTGCTAAAACAGAAAAATAATGCCAACGAATTCGACACTGCATAAATCACAAGGCCATTGAGAAGATGGCACCCAGTAGAGTCCACACAGCCTTCTGTTGCTCTTTCAGAACCATCTCTGTAATTGTTTCTGTATTTCACTGATTTGTTTGCTTTTTCACATAAAGGACTTAAAGAGAAAACTATAATTTCAGTAAAATTTTATGCCCATGTCATGGCGATAAATGATCATAATGATGTTATTTTGATAATATATCTGCATCTCCTAAAAGAGGATGCTACAAATAATAATACATCTTCTGCAGGTTTTTTTTTTTTTTTTGACATTTCACATACAGAAAAACCATGAACAACTTTCCCCTTTGCAGTGAGAGGCATTCCAAAACTGGCAAAGGCACATTTTTATTTAAATAAGTCAGTCTCACAACTGTAATTTGAACTTGAAACTGGCAAAGTTTCTTTCATTTCTTACATTAAAAAAACCTTAAATTTTAACTGTAATAAAGTGTGAATCCTTTAATAACCTGGATTGGTGTCACCCAATGGGGTAATGAAAAGGAGATGTTAATGTACTAGCTTCCTGAAAATATTTAAACATTTTCATACAATACTAGAAAACTTACCTTCTTCCATGTTTAGCTTAATAGAACAAATCATATGTAAGTTTAATAGTGGTTCTTTTATTTATAAAATAATCACATTCAAGTCTTACCAGGGAGTAGCAAAGTGTTCAATTCTTTTCCTTTGAAGAAATAATGTAGAGCAATCACTCATAAATCCTTCTAATTATAAATAAAATCCAAGTTATTGTTTGACAATGAGATGCTTTATTAAACTTGATACATTTACTATATAAGAATTCTGTGAAAAAATGGGGTATCAAATTATTTTGGGTCTGAATCTTTGCATTATAAAAACTATCCCAAAACTATGTCATCTCACTGTATTCTGTGACTGTTAGCACACGGATGACCAAAGGCAACTACTTCCTTTCCTGGCAAAACAAGACAAATTTCAGCTGACATCCCCCATGGTGTTACAAGTCCTCTTAGTGACGTAGAAAGTCCCAACCCCCTTCTCTATGCAGTGTCATCTCCAGGAAGGTAAGCTTTAGGAAGCACCTGAGCCAGCCCTATATCTGTGCTTGGCATGAGGTTCACATGGGTTCGGCCTTGAGACGGGCATGTTCCTCTCAACCAAACAACTCTACTTGGATTATTCCGAGACTCCTTGGAGGGGTGAAACTTCTGGAAAAAAAGAAAGTAAGAGAGAAAGAGAGAGAAAAGGTCTGAATAATGACAGGAATACACAAAAGATCAATTTCAGCTGCACCGGTGCTAAGGGGAAGAATGAAGGAATTGGAAAACAAGCAGCTTTGTGGAACACTCTCTGGCATGACAAAAACTGACCAGACTGTCACTGCTTCCGACTTAGTGCTTGTGAAGCCCACCCATTCTCTTACCAGGCCTGGGTGTCTCTGCAGTGAGATGTCTGTGGTTGGTAAACAGTTCTGTAGAGTCTTGTTCTACCGATCTTTCTTCGAGGTCTGACTCTGGGATTGTAGTACAACCACCTAGTGGAAAAATACAAACAGTATTTTAAGCAATGTGTAAGAAAATCTTCCTCTCTACACAGCAAGCATAGCTTAGGAAACACACTGATCATAAAGATAATAAATGACGTGACAACAATCTTCAGGAGTGGCCTGAAAAGAATAACCTTAAATGTTTCTTTTTGGTGAGAATACTGGGAATGAGTTACTGCCCCTAAAGACATATTATACTGATTATGACTTGGCAACAGCAGCAACAGTATTGTCTTTAAATTTATCCTTTTTAAAGTCAGAAAGGACAAAACCTATAGCATATGTGATATCCAGAATATAAAGGCCCCTGAGCACGAATTTCCTTTAATACCAGAGCATCAGAAACTATAAAAGAAGCAAAGCCCATGAACCATGAGGAAAAGAAGGCTTCCCTGAGCAAAGAGAAAGGTTGCTGGTGTTCTGGTACGGTGGTTGTGGTGGCATTTCTCTGGAATTTGATTCTATTCCTGAATCCCAACACCTTACAGCACAGACACAAACACTTCATAATTCAACAGCAAAGTCATGAACTGCATTGTGGAAGGTTTCAATCCAAAGGTGACTTGAGGATGAGCTGGCGCTGTTGTGCTTTTGAAGTACTGGGTATAACTCATTTGACTTTATCCACCAAAATCTTGTATGGGAAACTCACAATCATGAGAGAATTTCCTGACTACATCTGCAACTCGATTTGACTGATTTGCCATCATTTCCTGGAAATGTACTAACATGTTGTATACTGTACATGCTTTTTTCCAAAGCCATTCTTCTTGTTAATGAAGTGTGATTTCTTTTTCTGAGACTTCTCACACACAGAGTCCAAAGCCTCAGCCCTCAAGTTTGGTTTTATGCATGAGGGGGTTTATGAAGCTCACAACATTCTGAGGAAAGAGAGGGTATCAGCAGCACTGATTTCAAAACCACATCATTCAAATGAGACGGAAGTGGCAAGATCCCAGGTTTCAAGGAAAACACACCTTACTATCCACGCCTCTGCATCAACTCTGAAACAGAAATCAGTGCTAAGGGAAATGACAGAAACGCATTTCCACACTCATAAAATAAGAATTAGAGCTATCCTCCAAGATTCCCTGAATAGAAAACATTAGAATTATCCATCAATGCAATGGAACTTGCCCAGTCATACCCGAAAATGACAAGGGCCTTATCCAGAAGGAGAACCAGGCTTATTTTTAATCTCTCCAAAGCCTGTAGATCACAGTAACCAGAACTATCATTATTGAGTACTTTCTAAGGGCTAGAAATCCTGCCCATATTATCTCATTTAATTCCTACACACTATACCATGAAATAGATATTATTATTATTATTCTCATTTTATAAGAAAACTGAGGTCTCAATGAGATTCAGTAACTTGCCAATGTCACAGAGCTCCAGTCTGGTCACATGGTGGGGCTGAGACCTTTGGAGAGGCCCCAAAAGCCAGTTCCTTTCCTCTCCTTCTTTACACTCATCCAACTGAGAAAAAAGGCAAAGGATACACGTGGTGGTGGCAGGGGCTGGGGGGAGACCTGGAAGACTAATGACAGGGAAGCGCAGAAAGAAGGGATGTGCTCCCTGCTGGACAGAACCCTGGGGAAAAAAAAAAAAAGGCAGAAAAGTCACTTCTCCATCCCTGAGACAGAGGGAGGTAGGGGAGGCCAGGAATGCTGTACTCATGTAGCTGCTTTCACACACAAGACAACTCCAGGAGGGAGGAAGAGACGAGCCAACAGATGAGAGCGAGTTTGATGAGCAGTTAAAACAGCTGCCACGTGCTTGGGGAGAGGCAGGTCTCCACTGATAAATTAGTGTCCCTTTCATTCCAGCTGACTCAGTATTTTGACAAAACAGAAATAGAAGACTTCCCAGTTATCTATCCTGTGGGCTCAAAAGGAAAAGCCAGTTGCTATAGATTATCAACAATGAATGTAATCTCCTCTCTTCTCTTTGCCTTGTCCTGCATACAGAGATGGCAAGGTGCCCTGCCCTGGTGCTCTAACCCGCAGGTGCTATAGTGGGCACAGATTGCATGCACCTCCTCAGACTTCACACCCACAGCAGGGCACCTTGGCATGGGAATGCCACCCACCTTTCTTTCTTTTTTTTTTGAGGTGGAGTTTCACTCTTGTTGCCCAGGCTGGAATGCAATGGCATGAACTCGGCTCACCGCAACCTCCGTCTCCCGGGTTCAAGCAATTATCCTGCCTCAGCCTCCTGAGTAGCTGGGATTACAGGCATGTGCCACCATGCCTGGCTAATTTTGTACTTTTAGTAGAGATGGGGGTTCTCCATGTTGGTCAGGTTGGTCTCGAACTTCCAACCTCAGATGATCCGCTTGCCTCAGCCTCCCAAAGTGCTGGGATTACAGGCGTGAGCCACCGTGCCTGGCGCCACCACCTTTCTTTGGATGCCTCCTGTAGCCAGACTGTCCAACTGCACACCCAGAGTGTCTGCCACTTCCAGCTTGGAAAGAACAATGGTGGTGGGCTCTGGCATCCTGCCCAGCAAGTGTATCATAGGAAAAGAAAAGAAGCCAAAGCTGAGCAGAGAATTCTCCCTGGGCCCCCACCAACCAGGTATATGCTAGATGATTAGTTCTCTTTTACAGGACTCCAAAAAAAGGCAGAGTGCTGCGTAGCTGCACCTGCTCACCATCTTCATGGCTCCTGGAAAGAGGCACTCCCAGATGCAGGCAGCACCACTCTGCATGACCTCATATATTCCCTCGGTTGCTGCCCTTTGTCCCCACCCTCCCTTCCCTGGGTTTGTGTTCTCAAACAGCCATCACTTTAGTCCTTGCCCCAGGCTCTGTCCTCTTGAGAAAATCACTGATACTGGGAGTAGTTCTATAGTAAAAAGTAGGTCTTCACAATGGAATTTTGAAGTTAGACTGCCCACCCATCTGTAAGCACTAGGCGCTCCATAGCTGGAGGTGAACGGGATGGTAATAGCCCCTGGTGTGCAATTACTTATGCTTTCACCCATGCTGAACTAGGATGATGTGCACGCAGAGGTCAAGACACTGGGAGATCAAGGGGCTATGGCATGGAAACATGTAATCATAAGGATTTCAGATGCTGCTTCTGATGACTGAGTATCTCGCAAAAAGAAAATGGTAGCTCATGGGCTAATGGGCAATGGGAGGCAAATCCACAAATTCAGAAGGCCTCTTTGGCCTTGCTCATGTAATGAGATCATCACATCAGCCAAACAGGAATCACCTGGGAGACTGTCAGAAATGCAGAATCTCAGGCCTCATCCCCACATCTACTAAATTAACATCTGTTAAGAAACAACAGATGAGTATATCTGATACTTTTCCTAGGAAAAAATATATATTTGTTAAAAATTTAAGGGCAAGCAAATAAAAGAATACAGATAAAATATAAAACTTCCAAACAAACTGAAACTCTCTGAGGTCATCCATGGAAATGAAGTCTGGGTTCCATGGACGCCAGATGAAGTACCCTTGGCTTAGAGTTCATCTCATAAAAGGAGAAGGGAGCTGGAGGAAGTCATCCAAACACAATGGCAAGTGTGACACAAATGAGCCCGCAGGCAAGGACAAGCAGAACTGCAGGCTTCTGGCCTGAAAATCAGGCAAGCGTCTCACCTCGAGGAGGGCAAGGGACTTCAAATCCCATGGACCTACTGTGTGCTGAGCACTCTACCTTGCATTTTCAGTACAGTAACTCACTCCATCCTCAAATAACACTGTCACAAAGGGCTCAGTGCCCTCATTTCGCAAGGGTAAATGTATTGATAGCAATGTGTGCTTTTCTTCTATTGGCCCTCCCCCTGCCCCTTTTCCTACAATGTTACCCTAGGCCATTTTGTGCCCCCTTGCCTCCAGGGAAGTTTGTAATGGGGACCCCATTAATAAAAGTATCCTGGAAATACTTTTCTTTCCAGCTTTGGTTTTCCATAGCCAGGGCTCCCTGAAGAGATGGAACTGAGAGAGTGAGAGACAGCTGGTACCAGGGTTGCCTCAGAGGCAGCAGCCCACAGCCCAAGGTAACAAGACATCATCCAGAGATGGAGGCATGGGACACAGAAGGACTGGGCACCAGAAGCCCCAGCCTTAGCCACAGGGAGCCCTGGAGTTGACTCCACTGATGGCTCAGGCAATGAGGCTGTGGGTAGCTACTGTGTCCTCATTTTCTGAGCCCCATGTATAAGCCTCCCTGGATGCAGTGGGGTGTGGCAAGGGTGGGCAATAATAACAGAGACTGAATTCCCTACCCTCTTGTTATTAAAGAAAATACAAATTTTACATTTCTTGCATCTCTGACTTAGCTATGCAGAGTCAGTTTCAATTTATTAAATAAAACCAAGAGATTATGTTATTTGCTAAGGCTTACACAAGTTTCTATACCACTGCAACCCAGCTCTCCATATATTACAGTGATGCTTCTAAAAAAAAACTTGCTTTTCAAATTTCCAATCTATCTAAACCAATACTTTTGCAAAATGTAACAGAAATGAATAAAAAAAAAACTAGTAGAAAAATTAAATGAATAGGACATCAGCTTTCACCTTTTAGAATTAGGTTCAACAGTTGTAAAAACACCCTTTCAATTGTTACAAAAGTTTCTCAACACTTTGTGAATGTCAGGTAACAAAAAGTTTGCAGACAGAGGCCAGTCTTTCAGCCATACTTTGAGTAGCACTAACTATAAGAGATGGTCTAACTTAATAAATGTGATATGTAGAATTAGGGTTAAAAATAATAATACAGCAAATTCCTATTTATCTAAGGTTCAAATACCAGCAAACTCCTTGTGGCAACAAAATGGGCTTTCACAACCTATGTTCATTCTTTCTAGTCATACATCTAGTGACTAGATGTGGCAGCTCTCTCTCTAGTGGTCATGGTGTTCAGAACAATCTCCCTCTCCCACCAATGCAGGATATCTAGGTTCCCCTCACCACTGCTAGGTGGAATATAATTAAGGGAAGCTGGCATCTTGAGTCAGAAATCTAGA